TCCTTCCCCCCCCCCCCCCCCCCCCCCCCGAGGTTAATTTGCATTCGAAGTCTAATTCATATTTCAAAATCCTGGCATTTGAGGACTGTATAGGAACAGGGCATTCATTTCTATTTTTGAGGAGGAGCCTTTCCTGCATTTGCTCCTCTCTGTATAATTTCATTGTGTTCACAAGTGACAGGGATTTGCATCAGTTATTTTGCAATTTATTTTTTAAAAGAGCTGGATCAAATTTAAGGAAAAAAATCTTATTTTTAAAATTGCCAAGGGGGCAAATACTAAGCATTATAGAAGCAACATACATTATTAACAATGTTGCAAACTTAAAGTTTAAGGCACAGACTATATATCCAGATAAAAATATTAATCTGCATTCTTTGGAGTTGGATTTCTGAGTCCTAAACATCTGATTTCGATGACAGCCAGAGAAAGTCAACTATACTAATACTGTGGTGTATTTATAGTTCCTCACATCTATTTACAGGTGATTTTATTGCTGTTTGCTACTCTTGCTCCAGCGCTTTGTAATTATTTCACTCCTGCAAGGCATTTCATAGGATTAGATCCTGCTTTACTCATTAAAAATTTTCAGCCTATCCAGCTGTAACTTTCATCCACAACTCTGGAAATAGTTATGTGGCCATGTGGACTTTATGGAACGATTATAAAAGATACATGGATATAAACCAATCTTTTTATACGACCATGTATCTTTCAGTTCTTTGTGTGTGATGAAGGATCCATCTACATTTAGGCCTTTACAGGTCCTTTAAGGACTTCTTTCACATATTTTATTTGTATCTATAGAATGAATTTTCTTTATATATATAGGGATTACATGAATGGCATATGTTGCATAATACGTATATGAGGCCTTTCAAGTATTTCTGTCCACACACAAATTTATTTTTGACAAATGTATGTGTGTGTGTACATGCATGTTTATACATGTGTATGATGAAAAACATGCTGGAAGAGAAAACTGCCCAAAATAAAAAATGTTCATAGAGGAAAAGCTGTTAAGGTAGTTAGTTGACAGGGAGTTTGCATCTGATGCTTTGCAAAAGTCAATTAAGTTGCAGACTTTACTGTAAATACATTTATACACTCCCATCTCAGCATAAAAATCTCTCTTCAAGTATTTGTCCTTCTGTAACTGTGGGGCTATGAATTATGACTAAAAAGATGCCACTGATATAAAAAACTTATAAAATAGTAATGAAATATGGAATTTTATATAATGCCAACAACTTTAGCATGATTCTTGGCATAAGGAGTTTAGTGCAATTTCATTTGTCTGAACCAGAATGATATTACAAAGTAAATTAATAGAACATTAGTACTGAAAAAAAGAAACACTTCTTCCTTTGAAATATGAAGTGCCACTAACTTGAGATGAAACCTGAAAGTCAGTGAATAATATATGGGAAATATTAATATTTTAAATGTATCATATTTAAAATTGCTGTGAACTTAAACAAGGTTTCACATCAAGAAAAAACAAGTAATTCATTTTAGGTACAAATTTTATATGCAACATTTTACAAATGAAGCACTTCACTAAAGAAGGGAAGTCAGGTAGGTAAGCATATTTTGTAATTTTGTACATGAAATACGGTCATTATGGAATATGAATTTAATTTGGAAAATGATAAAAAAGAACATTTAGTTTTTTCTACTGGGCTGCAAAGAAAACATTTTTAAATAGCTGATTAAGGAGATGAAATGAACTGATATGGCCCATAATACCCACATGGGCTTTTATACCTTGTGAAACCACACCACAACAGAAGCTTTATAAAAATATGAAGTGAAGAAATGGAGTCATATTTAATATTTAGAACAGGACTTGATATGAATCAGCCTAATGCTGTAGAAAGAGAGCCCTCTGGCACTTGGCATTACATTATTTTTAAATTATTCCTGCAAGGAAAGTTAGTAGAAAGAGGGTAGCAGTGTTGAAGCCCAACACTGAAGGACAGGGACAAATTGGGATGCCACTGCCTGCCCTACCATTGGTTTAAGTGGGGACAAAGTGTCACCTTTGGTTCTCTCTTTAGCTCAAAGTCTGTTGGCTCAAATGTTTCACTGTCCTGCTCCAATGAGCAGGTACAGTTCAGCCTTTGGAAGCCAAACCTGTGCTCCTTAAAATGGGCCAAATCCTCCTTTTTGCATTCACTGAAGCTGCCTGGAGTTTTGTCTGATTGGAATGATATGCAGGATATGTATGACTGGACATTTTGAGCAGTTGGGAAAAAAAAAAAAGAGAAAACTAAAACAAAACCCAAACATGTCTTTGCATCAATGGAAAGTGTTGGATGTGTCTGAAAGGGCAGTTGTGTGTTCTGGGAAGGACTAAGTCTGCCATGAGTTTAAGTGCCTGTGAACTGTCTTGTGGAAGGACAGCAAAGTCTGGTTAGTCCATAGCTTGGTTCCCACCTACTTAGCTGCTCCCACTAGGAGCTAGTTGCAGGTGCCACAGAAGACAAGAGGTTGGTGGTGGAGGAGAGGGGACACGGTTGTCACTTGCTACACAAGCAGATCTCTTTCTGGACGATTTCGCCCAAAGCTCTGGTACATTTGCTATGGTTCTCTCAGTTATCTCCCAATAATTTCAGTAGCTTGTGTTTTCATTGCAAATGCCCAGTGTCCTTTGGAAACTCACTGCAGTTATTTTAAATTCAGACTGTGATGGGAAAAAAATCATGTTTTCCCTTTTATTCAGTTTTACCACTTAATCACAGTTTTTTTAAATATACATTTCTCTGCAGTGAAATAACCTTTCTTTCCACATTTATACCCATGTGCACAATGCTAACTCATAGCAGAAAAAACATTTTAGAACACTGTTCCATGCTTATAGGATAATTATTAATCTTGTCAGAATAAAAAACATAATAAAAGTATACTATACAAAGGTTTGCGCCTTAAAGTTTTTGAAAATTCTTTTTTTTTAAAGTAATCAGAGATGTCATAACAGAGGGATATAAGATATATAGCACGTAGTAAAAGTGTATGACTCCTACAGGACTATTTAGAAATATACAAAGCTTATTTTTTCTCCTTTTGGTTAGCAGACTACTTGAGGAAAAGGTATGTTTTTATTTTTATTCCTACTTGTGTCTATGAAGACAATGGGAAACTACAAATTCCAGATTTTATTAGCTATAAATGGTATAAAAATCAGGAAGAGAGATGTCAATGATACATATCTGGAGGGATAAATACACAATAATCATTCAATCTGATAGCAGAAAGAATAATTATTTGACTATAAAACCAATGCTAAGTACAAGCAGAATAATATTGTTCTAGTGAGAAATATAGCAACTAATATGATACAACAAATAGACGCTTCTAAAACTCCCTCTATGCTTACAACTTTTCCAGCTGAATATTCCTGTTTAATGCTTTGTGACTACTGAGATATAGTTAGTGAACAAGCCAGTCAAAACTTTTCTTTATTTTCCTACCCCATATCTACTAATCTAAAAATGTAACCTGTAGCAATTCCACTTGATATTAGGGAGGTGATTTTCCTGTTTGTTGCTTGGGTTTCGCTTGAAACTTGATTTTGCATACTCTGACTCACGAGCTGAAATTTCTGGGGTATGCAGCAGTGTTTGCAGGGTCATCCACTTATTTTGTGTGGGAGGGCCAGCTTTTTCATACTGGGGATTCATTCAGGCACAGAAAAGGGATACTGAGGATAGGGACTATTTTTCAAGGGCATTGGGCATTTACCCTCTTACTTCAGTGAGAACTCTGAAAACTCAGTATTAAAAAGAAAGTGCCCGTTTTTCTTCAGAAAATGAAATGTGGACATAAAAATCTGATAAATTTCTTCTATCTCTGGTTGAAAAGAATGGTCAAATGCTATAGCTGGAAATGTCTGTTTTTATCTTTAGCGTCAGCCCTTTGAGTATAAAGCACAAACCTGTCTTTCCCCATGTGATAACTCTTTACTTTTAAACCACTAAAGTCCTAAAAAAACCCAGACAGAAATAATAGAAATTATTCTTCATAACTCAATTAAGAAAATAAGAAATTTGGAATCTGCATAGGGTGAATTATGATTTTATATGCTGCTGATTTGACTTTTTGAAATTAGTATCTTCATACTGAACTCTTGTATATATTTTTATTACTGTTAGGAAAGAACAAGATGCACATTTCAAAGACCTGTTAGAGGGACAGCTTTTTGAACTGTGACATGCTGAAGCCTAGGGAAAATAAAGCAAATGTTTTGAGGAACAATCAATGTCTGGAGAGAGAAGAGTATCCATAGATATCTCTGTGCCAGTGAACCTTGTAGCAGGTCATGCACACCTGGGGCTACGGGTTTCTCTGCATAAGAGGAGTAGAAGGAGAACCAAAACACAACTGCTTATTGATCAAAGTTCCCTCAGTGCAACAC